GCATGCCGGGAGGGGAGGGAGGACTCCTCCCCCACCAATCAATCAATCAATCAATCAATCAATCAATCAATCAATCAATCACCCAATCAATCAATCAATCAATCAATCAATCAGTCAATCAATCAATCAATCAATCAATAAAAAAAAACGATCAATCAATGAATATTTATTTTTTTTTTCTATTTTTTTTAATTATTTTTGCTACTCACCAAAAACCACCCCCCAAATTTTCAAAGTTTTTTTTTTTTTTTGTGCAGGCCATTAGAGTCTGACGTGCGCGCACCGATTTCCCGCACGCGCCCCCGCCTGGCTGTGGCACGGCCGCGCGGAAACTCGGCCGCGCGGCCTCGGCCGCAGGCCCGCGGCCGGCCTCCTCGACCGCGGCCTAGGCCGCAGGATCCGCGACCTTAGGTGCCACATAGCTGTCTGTGTCCGCACACTCAACTTTTCCAAAAATCCTTGGCAAACCCCATCTTCGCTGTCCTCCCGGGGCCCTTCCGCAAACCAAAATGCTCCGACCGGGAAGCAGCGCAGGGCATGAGGTTGAGCGTCACACACTGTTACTGTAGCCTCCACCGCAGTTGCCACTACCCCTGTTCTGTGAGCCTTGATAAGGGACGATCGCACTTGATGTGCTCGCTCCCTGCGATGGTGCCTGCAGATTCTGTGCAGAATGCCATTGGTGTCGCTCCGACTCGCACCGCCCGCTCCACCTTCACAAATCCATGCAGCCATTTCTGCTCCATTGGGCTGATGCCGAAAGGGACACTCCTAATAGAATGGCCAGGTAGCTGACAAAAGTGGCAAACACTTCCATAAGCCATCCTTCTTCTCACAGGGACTATCTCGTCCCTATCGAACGAAAAGGGGGTCGATGACCTAAAGGCTAAAACCAATAAGACCAGCGCTGATTAAGGAAGGGGAAGATGACAAAGAAAATGATGACAAGATCTGGAAAGAACAAGGAAATAGCCAAAGCGGGAGGGAGTGGTTGTGGCTGTGATTGTGTAGGCAAGAAGTGCAATCACACTGACAGGGTAAAATCCCCCACCAGTAAAATGACAACAAGATCCAGAAAGAACGAGGAGCCAGCTCAACGGTGTGACAACAAAAAATGCCTTTTTAAAAACAAAAAAAATCGATATCGCAATTTTTTTTTTTTTTTTTTTTTTTTTTTTTTTTTTTTTTTTTTTTAGGGAAAAAGCAAGGATTCCATTACTAAAGACCACTTGAGGCCGGGCTGTTATCACAAACAACCCGGAACGACTCAGACTGGACTACCAGGCCCATTACCTGGCTTAGGTACCGTGGGATTTTACTCCCAACGACTCAAAGGTTACCAGTTCACACTCACCACTTCTGTCTCCTATTACTACTCCTGAGCATTATACTTGAACAAACCACTTTCAGCCTACTTCTCAATTCTGGGAAGCCTTATGCCGAAGTTTCAGAACAGCCCAGACTATTCCCCTAATTACTCTAGTAAGCCTCTAAACCCTCGCCTCTCCTAATTCTTGGTCCACTCCCCTCTCACTCTCTTTCCCTTACCCTATTCCCCTGACCCTATAAAACGCCTACCTACTATACTACTAGTACTCTCAGACCGTCTACTCGACGGTTGGAACCTACTGCGGTTCCGGACACAATGTGACACACTCTGTCCCCCCATACCCTTCTGCCTCCTACTGCTGTTAGCTACCGAGTGTTCTGGTATATCTATGTGAGCAGCCATTCCGAGAAATGTAACTCTCCTCCTCCTCTAATTGTTACCAATTTGCCCCCTTGTGCCCAGGTTTTACCAAACCAACCTCGTCCTGGGTTTCCCCCTCTTCCCTGTAAGCCTTTCCTCTCCCAATCTGCAGCTATCATTCTGCGAATCATAGCCTTAAAAGTAGCTTTGATCTCCGAGTCTGGCATAGCTTTCCCTTCGAAGAGTGTCCGGTTCCGTTCCGTCCAAATCACCCAAGAACCCACCGATCTGATTGCTTGTGCCACATAACCCCACCCTTCGTGGAGGGAGAGTGTTTCTGGTACTCCCCCTAGTAGCACCCAGTCCTCCGACCACTTCAGTTTCTCCTCCGTCCTCTGTTCCCACTGTGCATCCCACCACTTCCAAATTCGCCTTGAAGCTGGGCAATCCCACCACAGGTGTTTTGTGGACTCAAAAGTCCATAAACACCGTTTGCACTGGGTATTGACCTTCATCCCTCTTCCTAGTAACCACACTGCTGACGGTGTTGCCAGTAACGATGCAAGCCACAGTAACGAAGCTGCCCGTTGATTCGGTGAATTTATGAGCTGCTGGCAACATCTCTGAATGGCCCACTTGATATCTCCCTGTTCTTTCTACAGAACTCTTCCCCATCTCTCCGTGGCCACCAACAGTGGGGACCGGTTCAGAGTTTGCAGATCGTAGGCCAACTTTATAGAGTAGTCATACAGTATTACGTTCTCCCCTTGTTTTCCTCTTCCCCTCCAGGCCCATTGGGCGGGATCTGCTTTTAGCTTCGCTAGTGGCGTCCCTCTGTTCCAAAGCACTGCCTTCCATTCTCCATCCTCGTTGACCTCTTCTCTTACTCTTACTTCCTGTAGAGGTCCAGTCGGGGCCGCTGTTGTTTCCTCCGACTCCTCATTGATTGCCAAATTCCCTTCTTCATCTCTGCGGGTCCATTGCTGAAAGGTTCTTCCTCCGTTCTCTCTGATCTCTGTCAATTTCAGGTATCTGTGGGGTGAGCCTTGGGTTTCCATTACGAACCATGTCCCTGGAGGGTTTATTCCCTCAGGGATGAGAAGCCATCTCCACTCTTTGGGAATGGCTTCTATGATCCGCTCTCTCCTTGCCCTTATGTATCTGCTTGATCTCAGTCTCTCTTCCAGTTCGTCCACCGAACACCATCTTCCCATTAGCTCATCCCACAGATCTCGTATCCTCACCACTCCCCTTTCCACCCATGTCTTCCCAAAATTTCCGGGAGCTGCATTCACCATCAGCATTGCTCCCTCCTTGTCTCTGATTAGATCATTTTCAAAGATCACTTGACTCAGAACCTCTTCTTTCGTCTTCGGACCCGTAACCATATCTGGCTTCACCTTTCTCCAAGCTTCCAGGACCGCTGCCCAAAACTCTGATCTTATCTTCCTCCTCAGAAAGGAGTTTATCCATACACAGGCCCAGACATCTGAGGGCCTTGTGAGATTCCATTCCTTGCTCAAGATCTGCTCTCCTAGAGCCACCCAGTGCTAGTCCCCATCCATGCTGATTGCTCTGACGACCCACCTTGCCAGCATTGCTGTATTTCTCTTTCCTGGATCATTCAGGCCAAGTCCTCCCTCTTGCCTGGGGACACAGATCAGGTCCCAGGCAACCTTCGACATAACCCCTTGGTCTTCTTCTGCCCTCGGTCGCCAGATAAATCTGGCAGCTTTCCTTCTGATTATAGATTGTTTTTTTTTTCTGATTGGCCTGACATTCCCCACATACCATAGAAGCGCAAACAGTGATGCGTTCACCACAAGTGCTCTCCCTAATAGTGACAGGTGAGGAGCTTTTCCCCAAGTCGTCAATCGCTGCATTACTCTTGATTGTAAGATCTCGTTTTGACGGAGTACACGTGAGGACAGGGCTACTTGCACCCCGAGAAAGCGTTCAGAGTCGCTGTGTCCGATCCTTTTCATTCCCCAATTTACGACTGGATCGTGGCAACGTGGCAGAAAAAATACGGACTTCGACCAGTTGATAGCCGCTTCTGATAAGTCCTCATATTGTCTTAAGCAGTTGCAGAGTGCTGTCATTGATCCTTCCGTGTTCGCTGACACTGCAAACAGGTCATCTGCTAAGGCTTTCACCTTGCAGACCCTGTGGTCCAAGTCCAAGCTTGAGATTTGAGACTGTGCTCTAATATTGTTCAAAGGCACCTCCAGATGAACCACGAACAGCAGTGGGGCCAGTGGGCACCCCTGCCGCAGCGAGCGTGTTAGCTTGAAGGATGGCGAAACATGGTCGTTCACCATGACTGCTGCCGCTGACAGCGAGTATAACGCGACTACCCAAGTGCAGAAATTTGCTCCAAAGCCCATCCATCGCAGAGTAGTCAAAACATATGACCAGTTTACCCGGTCATATGCTTTTTCCATGTCCAAAAGCAGCACGACGATGTCCAGGTCATCTCTGTTGACTATCTCCAAGGCTTCCACCGCGGTCACGATATTTTTGTAGATGGATCTCCCTTGCACAAAAGCCTCCTGGTCGTCTTCCACCATTTGGGGAAGGTACTTACCCAACCTGCGAGCAAGTACCTTCGCCAATATCTTATACGAGACGTTTAGCAGGGAGATTGGCCGCCAGTTCCGTATTTCGTTCGTGTCCCCCTTCTTGAACAAAATTGAGATAATTCCTCTGCTTGCGCTTGCTGGAAGTCTTCCTCCTTGCTGAATTTCATTGTACACCTCCACTAGGTCCTCCCCCATCGATTTCCAGTGGCATCGGTAAAATTTCACTGGAAGTCCATCGCTTCCTGGGGTCTTGCCCTTTGGCATAGCCTTCGTTGCTGCCTTTGCTTCCTCCTTGGTGATCGGCCGGTCGAGATCAAGACGAGCCTGCGTTGTAAGCCTCACTCTTGTGTTGACCCAGTGATCCGTGCCCTCTGTCAGGTCCGCTTCTGCACCTTCCCCGATTCTTCTTGTCGTCAAAATGTCTCGGTAGTAGAGTACCGCATAGTTGCACATCTCTCTTGGTGTCTGTGCAATTGGCTCCTCCGCCTCAAACGGATGCTTCAACTCTTTCATATTCTGTGCCGTTCTCGAAGGAATGAGTTTTCTGAAGGACTCCTTGGGCATCCTGTCATAAACTGCCAACCCTTTGACTTTTGCCCTCTCTGCCCACTGCTCCGACTTCTCCTATTGGAGAGCATCCCATGCTGCTAACCGCCGAATTCTTTCCTTCCCCCAAGTTAATTCTGATATGGGGTGTTCCCTCATCCTCTCCTCTGCTTCCTGAACTTTCCTCCAGCATTCTTTCTCCGCTTTGTTCCTGTTTAGCGCCAGGATTTTTGAGAAGACTTTCAGTAAGTTGGTCAGGATCCTTGAGCCCCCTTCCCACCATTCTGCCACCGTTGCGAAGTTTTCTTTCTGCTTACTCCATTTGCCCCAGAATTCTTCTATCCAATGATTCAGCCCTTCCTCCTTCAAGTTGCATGTATTAAGCTTGAAGTATCCCTTTCCCCTTGCTTGCTCTGGACCCATGTTGAAAACACCAATCACCAGTTTGTGATCCGATACCGGATTGTTGACTGCTGCGATTCTCACCACTGCTCCTTGCGTGAAACCCCCCGTCAACATATAATCTAGCCTTCTGCCCCTCCCCCGGTAGGAAAACCATGTGAAACCCTTATCCGTCGGTTTCAACTCTCTGAAGGAGTCCTGCAGGTTGAGTTCATCCATGAGGTCCACCAATGCAAGTACATCACCGGGGCAGCCTTTGGCGCTTTGTTCGGGGGATGCATCCAGCGATGCATTCCAGTCGCCTCCTATCACAATGTTATCCACGTTGGGTAGCACGTACTTGAGTTCTTCAAAGAAGGTTGCACGGCTATTCCTTTCCACAGGGGCGTAGATTGAGGCCACCGCCCATGTTAGCTCTCCTAGTCTTAGGACAACCCACGTCCACCTTCCCCAAGTGTCGGCGTAATAATCCAGGATCTCCATCCCCAGATCTCGATGGATCAAGCTCGCCACTCCCCCTTTTGTACCCCTTGCAGCCGCCCAAATCTGAGGGTCGTCCCACCATCTCCCTAGTTCATCAATTTTCTCACTGTTTAGCTTAGTCTCTTGGAAGCAAGCGATCGAGATCTTGTTCCTATGTAGCCACGATCTGACTCTCGGCCTTTTCTGCCTACCCGTTGTATCTCCAAATCCTTGGAGATTCCACGTGGCCAGCCGCAATCTAACCATCCACCCGTGAGTTCCCTTGGTGTGGTTGGATATGGGATGACGTGGCTCCTTCGCTAGGCCAGTGGCTCGTGAGTGCATTCCTAATAAATACAGAGTCTAATTTCTTGTCCTTTGGGAGACGCATCTTCAGGTCTGCTAGCGCGTCTGCTGTAATCGACAACGGAGAGATCAGGAACTTTGCCAAGTCCCGCCTCTTGCAGTCTGCAAAGAGTGTGAGCGGTACCAATCTCATGCCCATTGCTTCTAATTCCTGCGTTTTTGCTTCCGTAAGCCTTGCGTCTACTACCGGGACGTAGAACTTAATCCTACTTCCTGTTGGGCCATGCAAAATCCTGGGCATAGAGACCTCAGGGATTACTCTAGCCGGGAAGCTGTCTAAATACAACGTTTTCAACGTTTCTTCAACATCCCGTAGGGTGGGCATGTCTGCCACCGCTTGTCCAAACCACGACAACTGCCCTAGTCCTTTCTGCCAAAGGATCACCCAGAAGGCATTCCTGACCATCGTGCATAGCAGGGGAACGACGTATTGCGCCATCTCTCCCCCTTGGCCGTGTGCCGTCGAGGCAAGTCTTCTGTCACGAGTTGTCTTGTTGCCTGGTGTCACCATCCCCACCTCGTGACTCACTGATTTCTCCGATCCTTCTCTCGAGACCCTTGATGGTTCCAGCGTGACCTCCGAGGTCATGCTTAGTCTTCTTTGTTTCCCTGCCGATTGACCTCTCGACCTTCTAGGTGTACCGTCTGTCGTCCTCCCTGGCAAACCGCTTCCGCCTTGCCCGCCTCCTGGTACTTCCGCTCTTGGATGACCACTTACGCCTCCTCCGATTCCTCCGAGCGCCGCCTGTCCTCCCATGTTGGGAGCAGTTGGGATGTTCACCGTCTGCAGTCCCGTTTGACCATGTGTGGGCGGTAGACCGCCTAACCCTTGTCCACTTGACATTCCTTGCCACATCCCTCCACCTCCCCCCTGCCATGTTCCCATCCCTCCTCCGTAGAAGTCGTTCCAATTCTGCGTTGGAGCACCTCCCTGCCATACGCCGCCTTGCGGTATCATTCCCTGAAAATTCGGGTAGCCCTGACTGCCTTGCATCCCGCCGAAAGCTGGATAACTCGCGTGTGGTCTTGTTATTCCTGGCTGCACCGGCTGATTTCTGTTTCCTCCTGATGGCGAGTAGATCGGATTGTTCCGGATTACGCTTGCTGCTCCAGATGCCGCTGGTACTGCTTGTCGAGGAGCCAAAGTACCTTGGTAATTCTGACTGACGCCTCCTCCTCCTGGGGTTGCCGGTCTTCCTTGTTGCTGCGACGGTCTTTGACCACCCACCTCTCCTGCCCCCCATCCTTGGTTTCAATTTCAGCCTCTTCGGCATTCTTGCTCGGAATGAAAGAACTGTTTACACTTCGTACACTTCAGGGTGCCTACTGTTGCCAGGCGTATTTCCAGTGTGTCTCCCTTCGGTGTCTCAATCCATAACACATCCTTCATGTTCCCCCGCGCCTCAGGATCTATATCAAATTTAGCATTCACTAGTGCCGGCCGCAACGGATCCACATCTGTAGGATGTGCGAGAATGATCTTCCCGATCGCCTTCTCGATCTGGGCGTAGATAAAAGGCATGTCGTCGAGGGGAATTTGCAACGGAATTACCCAGAAAGTGTTGTCTTCTTCTTGCCTCCGGATTTCTTTAAACTCTGCACGCGTCATCCACGGTTTGAAGAGGATCTTGTAGGTGTCATTCCCCAGTGTGATTTCCACCTGTCCTTCTGCTATCATGAATTCAGCTACCTCTGTAGCTTTTGCTACGTACGACGCCACACCTGGACCTTCAATCTTAATTCTCCCTCTGTGCGAGTTCTCCGTTATCTGATCGTTTCCTATCACCCAGCCATCTTCGAAAGCTCGAACCAAGTCGTCCTTTACTCTCCTCGTGAGATACCGCGCCGCGTCCTTGAAGATTACTGTTACGGTTCTCTCTTTGAGCCATTTCACCTTGATGTCATCGAGAGAGGTATTGAGTTTAAACCTCACTTTTCTTCCTTCGATGACCATTTCCCCTGGGTCTATCTCTGTGGGGTATACCCCATCGTCATAGCACAACGCGAGCAGCTCTCTAATCCTATCCTCATCCTCCCAATAGTTCCTTTCTTCCTGCGGGGCTGAGGGAGGAGAGCGTCCCGAACCTCCTTGCCCTTCCGTCGCTTCCATTTTAACTCTTCCTACAACAAACGTCCACCCTCACTTCTCGACTACTTCTAACTTCTTCGTCTATGGCTGTTCTTCGTGTCTTCCTGACTTCACTTCTTACTTGGCTTCTTCCATGAACTCTTCCGGGGGATTTGCTACCTCTGCATTGCCTCAAAACCTATGGCTAGATGTCGCCATATCCTCCCTGAACACAGGGCGCTTGGTGTGAGTGACACCCGGGCGAAACCTCTGTGGAGTCGTCCGGGATAGCAGCTCGGGTTCTGACGAGCCCGGTAACGCTTGGCAGAGCGCATAGCGCCGGCCGAAGCAAGGTCGCGCGTCCCCCTTTTTTTATTCAATGTGTGTTTGTATATTTCCCTCGTTACATTCTATTTTATATTACAAAGTTTTTTTTGCCGATTGTTGGAAGGTATTCGTGTGTCTTCCGCCACATGAGGAAGGTAAAGTGGACTCTGACATGTGCTGTCCGCGTTAACCCTGCCCACTGCTCCGCAAATCCTCTGAAGTCGGGTGAAGCAATGAGCCTGCTTTTTGATGATGCACCGACTTCCATGAACCTGACCAGTAGCGTTGTCCAGGTTCGTGCCTTCTTTCACTTCCGTATGCTTCATTGCTGTGGCAGCGGAAAGAGGCCGTAGCCATTCGATAGGGCCCGCGTTCGAGTCCCCACTGCACCACTACAGTTGACACGGCATTGTATAATCGTCGAAAGGAGGAATCTGATGTTTCCATTCTGTGAGTGTGCAATCTTTCTCGCGGCTTTGGTGCCAACCAAGGTTTCTTTTTTTTTTTTTTTTTTTTTTTTTTTGGAAGAATTCGGAGATTTTATTGCAATATGGCGAAAGAGAGGCCGGGAATACCTCAACAAACAACCCGGAAAGTGCTGGGGCCATTACCCAGCATAGGCACTGCTGGAAAACAGGTCCAGCGTCCCTCTACTTCCATTCTAACAAGAATTCCTCCAAAAAAACCAATCTTGAAGCTCAGTAAAAGAAGGTTCTTCCATACTTCCCAAGTCCTATTTCCAACATAAAACTTTTGAGATCTAGCAAAAAAATTCACTTTATTGTTTAATGATCCAACCAAGGTTTCTCTGTAGAAGCGCTCTGTTTTTTTCCGCGGAAGCTGATGGTACTTGTAGTTTTACTGTCCGTAAGGGGAAGAGGGGTTGTGGCTTAGGGCACCTCTTTTGGGCTACGCTTTCTGCGAATATCAGTCACTGTATATGGCTTGCAGGGCAGTTTGGATTTGTGTGGGTGTCACTCGTGGAGGCGGGTTATGTTGTTCTGGGCCAACGCTAGTAGAGAGAGAGAGAGAGAGAGAGAGAGAGAGAGAGAGAGAGAGAGAGAGAGAGAGAGAGAGAGAGACTAGAGCAGCAGAGAATCGGATGTGATGTCCGGATTTGGTAAATGAACGTAGTCGGAGTCCGTGTGGATGTACATTTGCACGGCCCGTATCAGTTGCCGACGCCTGGAATACGGGCATGGACAGGGGAGATGATTTAACAGGGACATGAATGTGGACATCATAACAGCTGCATTCAAAACCCCCAGATTCTCTTTTAGCGTGGCGTGTGAAACGAGGAGCAAGAGTCATTTCCCTGACACCGTAAATAACGGATCTCGAAAATGCTCTGCCACAGACAACAATGCCGATGATAAATAAAAAATTGGGAACACATCAGCCGCAAGCTTCGGAGCGTTGAGCTAGCTGAGACGCAAAAAAGAGTCAGCTAGCTCAACGAGAAAGGGCAAGGGTAGGGGGCGTTATATTCGAGAGGAGCTACTTTTTCACGGTTTTTCTGAAACGAAAAAAAGGAATATTCGTTGTGCATACACACTTCACATAAATCGACCGCGCGATTTTCAGGACAATCTCGCATCATCTGCATCATGCAGTGTCACCCGTGGTTTGAAAAGTCCAACGACTAGCTAGCTCAACGGTGCTGGTGGGACAAGGTCCCTGGGCTTTTGAAAAAAAAAGAAAAGAAAGAAAGAAAGAAAGAAAGAAAAAGGAAGAAGAACCCCAAGAGCCTAGCTCAGTGGGTACACCCATGAACTGTTGAAATACAGAGCTGTGTTCGAATCCAGATGATGGAACTAGACAAGTGAAACCAACTACTAATGAATTGCTTGGGGCCGGTCAGCTCAATGATAATACCTCAAGACCGTCGCCCTTTTACAGAAAAAAAAGAAAAAAAAAGAAAAAAGAAAAAAGAAAAAAGAAAAAAAGAAAGAAAGAATGAAAGAAATAGGGTGGAGGACCGCCCTATGCAATTGGTTTAGGAGCAATATCAGTGAGCAATCAACCAAATGCATTTTTTTCCCCCCGATGCTGGAAACGTGCTGCGCCCAAAAAAGACGAACCAGGGTGACTTTGTTTTGCCTGGCACCACCAGCCATTTTGCTCCTGCTCCCGAGCCCCGAAAGTCACATCGAGAGCCCCGCAGCCGATGCATGGGCCAAGTACTGGTGGTTTAATTTGATTTGGACCGTTCCATTCATTTCTGGATTTCTGTGTGTCGTCCTTCGGCAAGTGCAATGCAAATCTTCTCTATATCAGTCCGATCTCCGTGAGGGATATAGTCCGGTTGATGGGACAGTTTAGGCAATGCTATTCTTCCCATTGCTCGACCACAAGATAGCGTCAAAAATTCTGAAAATCTCAACCACTAGAAATGTAGTACCACAGGGTAACTGAAAAAGCAGACCACCGCCGTCACCTGAATAGAACCCGAGTTCTTTTTTTTGTCGGCCTCCAACCCTGCCCCGAGCCCCCTGTTTTCAGGAGTAGGCTACTAGATGGACTTTGCGTTTGCCTGTGACACTTGAGCTTAGCCAAAAGCCTGCTGTACTTGTTGTTGCAGTTTTCTGTCTAGACACAATGATATTGACCGGGAGTTCTATTCGGGCGAATATGGCAGAGAGCTTTTTTTTTTTTTTTTTTTTTAACTGGCCCATTGCCCAAGGCTAATATTACCAATAAGAAGATTGAGGCCGGGGTCCTCACAGTCTGCCCGGAGTAACCGAACCGAACTTGCTGAGAACCGCGCTCAGCGTCCCTCATCTGGTAATGATAATGAACATGATGATGATAATGGTACTACTAATGATGATGCTAATAAAAAAAGACTATGCTATATCGGCAATGCCGGTAAACTGGGTAATGGCCCCAGTATTCTTCCGGGTTGTTTGTGAGGTATTCCCGGCCTCTTTCCGTCGGTAATAAAAGTATTGATTTTTCCAACAAAAAAAAAAAAAAAGAGCCATGCCGGTACCCTACGTTCGGAACGTTTTTCAGAGTCACCTGCACAACTATCTAGTTGGTTGGCACCGTTGGTCTGAGTTCTGTAGGGGTAGAAGACGCGAGCGCGTGGGGAGCATACCGTCCGGCAGGCCCGGCGGTCACGAGACCTGACCCTCGGCAACATGGTGACCGAGGAAGACGGATCCGGTTGACGTCATCGCCATCACGTGACGTGGCGGCATGGACGAGATAGAGGCATTTCGTGGTCAACAGGAGGAAGGCGTCCTTGAGTAATCAACAACGGCACTCTGTGGAAGTTTGTGACATCTGCGACATAGGCACAGCAACCAGGTAGGTGACATGGCTACTCCAGGTGACTTGGAACACTCTGCTGCTCAATGGATTCTCACGATGATTGCTGGCCGGCGCCGACTGGAGGAGATGGTGGCTGGTCTCTCCTCGCAGACTCCAGTCTGGACTGAGCTCGATGGGGGAGCGACCTCACGGGTCCGCTGGGTAGAGAACACCTTACAGAGTATATTGGAGGTGGTCTGGGAGTTAGAGGAGGGGCCCGATCCCCTGCTTGCCGATTTGCTTGATTGGCGCCAGACAGACGAGATTTTGAACCAGTGCTACAGTTTGTTAGATATGGGGCATGCTCAGGGTGCTGCGTTGGTGCATCAATCGGGCGGCATGCTGTCAGCAAGCATGGCGGTTTAGGGTCAGCCCCTTGTCACTCAATCTGGTACGTCACCGTCGATAGATGCAGCTTTGGAAACTACATCGATTATATCAACTCCAACTATGAAGACTGCTCCTGCGTGCATCACTGTATCATCCTGCTATTTGGGGGTGCTGCCAATTTCAAAAACCACAACTATAACGATCACTCCTCTGTGCAGTCCGGTATTATCTTGTGACGGGGAGGAGCTTCAAAATCAATCATCAGGTTCATTCATCATGCCACCAACAGGCTCAACCCATAACAACGATGACAACTGCTCTGATTTCTGCTGCGGAGCTCCCAGCTGGTGCCAGGTATGTCGATGCTTTTCAAGAGCGAGCCATCGTGGGAGCATCCACCAGTATTAGGGCTACAAAGGATTTCGTTACTTGCATCCTTTACCCTTTGCAACGATTCTCAGGGTCACTGTATGATGTGCCATGTTTTAGTCTTTTGCTGAAGTGGAACGGTCAATCGTATGAATGGTTGATCCCATGGGTATTTTGCTGTCTGCGTGATTGGCGAGTTTGGGCAGTGTTTTGATCCTGTCCAAATGCTCATGGTGCGAGTTCCTTGCCTCGTCCATCACGCTTCGTCTGGGTGGCAGCGTATTGACTAAAGTTGTTGTGCTCTAATCCGCCCAGTTTCTGTCAGCTTCTTGATCAGTTCAGTCTTCAATGATTCAATGATTCTTCATTTATATGTTCACCACATGTGATTGGTCATGCTTGTGATAAGCTCAGACCCGTACCGCGCGGCTTCCCGTATCCCTGAGGAAAAATCCCCCAGAAGCCCCGAGGCACGGATGCGGACAAACAGGGTTTTTTTCTTTCTTTTTGCTTTTGTTTTCTTTTTGAAACGGCTTTTTCATTTTTGGTTAATAACTCCCGCGCGGGCGAATAGCGGCCGCGGTATGAAAACCAAGAAACGGTTTCGGTGGGGACTTTTTGAATTTTTGCACGCGCCCGCCTAAGCTCCGACTTCTTCGCGCGTCTCGCACCCCCGTTTCTTGCTTTGCATCCCCGCACCATCTTCCCTTCTTGCTGCGCGCATTTCCCCCATGCAGGACTCTTCGTCTTCCCCTCCGCCCAGCTCGATCCTTACTCCGCGAAGTGATTGGCCGCGTAGTTGGGATGCTCGGATCAATGTGGAGAGCGGGAAACCGCGCACCACGTGAACGGACACCCCAATCACGTAGGACCATGCCATCCCGCGGGTCGAAACCTCTAACTCCCCACCTTCCTCCTCCCCTGCTCATCTACAACCTGCGCTGCCCGCACCTCGCGC